ACGTCAAAATTTGGTGGCGTCTCCATATGAATGAAAAATTCTAGAAAGGGACGTTAATCAAAGAACAAACAAACAAACACATTAAGTAAACTCGTTATAAATGACCCCCCCCCCCAACCGAACAAGCATCCACATAGGAACACTAACTTTATCGGATTTTTTTTTTTTTTAGATTTTGGAATCTCGGGGAATCTCTCTCTCTCTCTTTCTCTCTCTCTCTATTACAAACTCAAAGCACGATTAGAAAGGATATACACTTCTTTCATGAGTCTATAGTTATTATTTATATTTAAGGTATCTTCAACCCCATGTGACTTCATAGGTTTTGAGCTTCGTGGATAATAAGAATGATTCTCATTAAAAAAAAAATTGCTTTTTTTTTTCTCATACATGTTCATAGTTATACTTCTAATTGAAAATTTCCCTGATACTAGTATTAAGAATTTAAATATATTTATAAAATAATAGTTAAAATTTTAAAATAATGATTATTTCGTAAATTCAAGCCGTTTTTAAGCATCTTTATTAAGGTTGTATACCGAAAGGTGCCATGTTTACATTTTGACATATGCTTATGTTTTCATTTATGTCTGACATCTTTAGAAAAAATGTAACCTCTATATTTTATAATATCAAACAAAAGTTGAATTAAAGTTTTTTTTTTTCTACTATGAACAATAGGACTTAAGTTTTGGATTTTAAACTTCTTTATTAAGGTTGTTTACCGAAATGTTCCATATTTACATTTTGAAATATATGCTTATATTTTAATTTATGTCTGACATCTTTAAGAAAAAATGTTGCCTATGTATTTTATAATATCAAACAAAAGTTAAAAAAAAATTCTACTTTGAAAAAAGGTTTTGGATTTTCCTTTATTAAATATAGATATTATTTCTACATATTTATGGAGGATGAATTCTAAAATTAGAAGAACATTTCGTTTTTAAATTATATATATTGATATCTTCTATATATTGGATATCATCTTCCACTTTTTTAAAATCCCCCGCCCCTCTCCCTTTTTTGAAATTGCCGGATTCGTCTAAAAAATGGTGAACAACCTATCAACCCGAATTACTTACCACGCACATGTACATGTATTCAGTTTATTCTAGTTGACAGATTATTAGCTATGAGACTAGTGTTTTAAAATGTTCTTGTGTATATTAATTAAAATGTCTCCAAGCCCGATGTTTATTCACTTAGTATTATATGTGGTAGCTAAACACAGTTTCGTATAAAATCCAGGGGTTTTCCCAGAGAGAAGAATAATGGGAAGGGATTTTCCTGCTATTTATAGGAGGTCTACATAAAAAGGCCTAAAAACTGGAGTTCTATATCTCGGAAACTAGAGATGGTACCATCACCATTTCTTCATAGAAGTAGCCTCCCCTCAAAATTTCAGACCCCGGGACAGGGGACTTCGATGTCCCCGAGCCCGATGTTTATTCATATAGTATTATATAGTAGGCCTAAAAACTGGAGAGCTATATCTCGGAAACTAGAGATGGTACCATCACCATTTTTTCATAGAAGTGGTAACTGACCACTAGTAGCCTCCCCTCAAGATTTCAGACCCCATGACTTATGTGAAAATTTTGAATTGCGAACTGCGTTCTAGAATGCAGTTCACTTTTGAATTGCGAATTGCGAACTGCGTTCCAAAATCTGATTGCCATCTATAATAGGCTTAGTACGCATAATATAAATGATGTTGGAAGAAACAAATATCCGTACAATCGGATTATTTCACATTGTAACAGCGTATGGATATAATAAACCACACACACACACACAAAATAATAAATCATGCCAAACCCTTGTCCAAATGTATCAAACTCGTAAATTCACAATCCTTGGAGGTGATTTAAATTTCATCCATTAAATGACTCGCATGGAAATCATGTTGGATAAATAATAAGAAAATGTGATTCTGATGCAGGTTGTTAATCAGCTACGATTTTGCTCTGAGTTTGTGGCGATTGTGATATGTACTACATGTATTACATGTAACTTCAACGACCACAATATATGAGTTCAATATGAGTTGTTAACTTTTAAATTTGGTTTATATGATCCTAATGTGATTTCTTAACTTATTTCCTGAAGTAACTATATATGAGTTAAGTATGGTCTGTTAACTTCAAGAATAAATGTCAATTTTGTATGTTATCCTAACTTATAATCCTACTAAGAACTATGGTCTGAAATTATTTTTCAAGCCTGGTGATTCTTTTATCATAATTACCTATGTAATAAAATTCAAATCAGAATTATCTACCAAGGTGTAAAACAAAGAATTGGTCTTAGATGAATAACATAGATAATTCAACCTATATGCCAGCCAGATAAAATATTTTGAATTTTAAAAGAAATGATTATTTGAGTCTACTTTGGAGAATGAACTATTTTTTAACAAAAATCTTTACCTTCTTTTTAATTAAATTGATCATGTTGATAAGCAGCTGTCTCTATCTAGATGAAATCAATCATTGTACCTAAGAAACAAAATTATTTTATTGATTTTAGCCCCCACCCCCTTCATTTCAACATGGCAGTACCATTTGAAAAAAAAAAAAATCTTCTTCAGTTTGGAATTTGTTCATATTCATCGTATTCAACCGTGAAGTTTGATATTGTTTGATACCGTATTCACATTATCTTTGTATCATATCTCCAAATTGAAAGTTGTTCATATTCATAATATGATCTATGCATATTACTACTTGAACGACAAAATCAGTTGCTCAATTATTAATCCAGAGTATAAGATGCTACATTAAATTCAAAAGTCACAAATTCATTATCATAGCAGTGTTACACAATGCATGATTTTTAACAGATGAAAAAGATATTACGCTGTTTACATCAGGACCACGATTTCTTTATGATTCGTTTTTTTTTTTAAATGGACCATATTAGGATCATGACTTTTAGATGAGTTGTTAGATTGATTGATTATATGCTGTTTTTGTCTCATTCGAAAATTTTTCACTCATACAGAGACTTCAAATTTATGCCTTTACTCGGCACTGAGGGCCATTGAACAGTGAGGGTTCTTTATCGTACCAACGTCTACCGTGACACGGGGCCTCGATTTTTTAAGGCTCATCTGAAAGACCCATGACTTGTTTGAAGTCAAGAATCGAACAAGAATCTGATCCACTACCTCATTTGCATGTGAAATTTTTCAAAGTCTAGATTTCTATATGAGTTGATAAAAATTGTTAATCATGTTAAGATTATGATTTTGATGCGAGCTTTTACTCTAATAAATCGTATTAAGATCATAATTTTGAAACAAGTTTTGTCTGTAATCAATCATACCAGAATTGTGATCCATTAGCTCATTTGGATGTGATTTTTTTTTTCTTTTTCCATCTGGAGATAGATATTTTGTTCTATACCATCAGCATAATGATATGCATGTAAGGGCATGAAACACTATAAAACAAATGAAATACGTAATAAAAAGACATGATGCCTCAGCAAATTTTTGGGACAAAAAAGGAAACATGTCAAGGAATGTACGGATCGTTGTAACTTTTTGAAATGGGTTTATGACAAATGGAACGGTGACAAAAGCATTTACATTAAGTAGGTGTTGCTTTGCATTCAAATTTCATAATATAACTACGGTAAATGAAACTCAATATATTATTCAAATGGAAGAAAATTATATAAAAAAAATCATTGATCATTAAGCAATGTTTCCTTAAAATTCTCAGTGCTTCATACATGTATATTTTTCATGTTCATAGCTGTTGCAACAGCAATTTCTAATACATAGTACAAGGAAAGGAATTGTGAATTTAAAGTTAGAGACTTAAACAACGTTTCCATTACTGTGTATATATACACCATAAGTAGCGCACTAAGAATTAAATTTGTTTTAACCTCCTTTAGATGGAAAAGAGGCGATATATACGAGATCTATTGTTTGTTTGTTTTTATGTTGTTTAACGTCCCTCTGGAAAATTTTTCATTCATATGGAGACATCACCACTTGCAGGTGGAGGGCTGCAAATTTTAACCTATGCTCGGCACTCAGGGCCATTGAGCAGTGATGGATCTTTTTCCTGCAAACACCTACTGTGACACAGGACCTCGGTTTATACAGTCTCATCCGAAGACTGGTCTCCACGACCCGCATTGGATTCGAACCCGCTAGGTAAGGATCAACTCCTTACTCCGCGACTGGAGAGCAGACGCTCTAGCTACCTCGCCAAAAAATGATAATAAGCTAACCTTTTCTAAATTGAATTGCTATAAAGTATTTCAAATACGGTATATAGCCCCGAAAAAGAATGTTTCGGGTATATTGTAAATAAAATTACTATAATAATGTCTAACAATATACATTCATCTCATTACTGTATATGTGTATTCATATTTTTACTGACAATATCTCCAATGATTTTATCTTTCAACATATTTTCAAAATTGTGATTTGTAACATTTTTTTTCCCATCAATTAAGATGCAAGACTTCTACTGGAATAAGATTGATTGATTGATTGTATGTTGTTTACGTCCCGTTCGAGAATTTTTCACTTATGTAGAGACGTCACCATATACCGGTGAAGGACTTCAAATTTAGACCTTTTTCTCGGCACTCAGGGCCATTGAGCAATGAGGGATCTTTATCCTGCCAACGCCTGCCGTGACACGGGACCTCAGTTTTTAAGGTCTCATCCGAAGGACCCGCAACTTTCACTTGGAAGTGCCGAGCGCTTGACGAAGGAGCAGTTGCTACCTATTTTTTTTTTTTTAAGACTTAGGTCAGTGGCGGCCGAGATTCGAACTCACGACCTCCCGATCACGAAGCGAGCGCTCTACTGACTGAGGCACCGTGACGGTTACAGGAATAAGAAAAAGAAGAGTTCATTCTTAACTTCTCAGATACTGTGTAATTACATTCTAGGAATATTCCTTTAATGTTATGTTAACAAATAAGGAAACTTCGATCAATTAAATTTTTTATAGGATTTTTATTAGTTAATTTGGTTGTGCCAATCGCTCGTATGCAGAAGTCTCGAGACATCGTTGAAAGTTCGTCCGTATGAAATTCCTTGGGTTTACGCCATAGAACCTGAGAAAGTTATATATGTCTCGGAGTAATCTTCTACTGGGGTTTATGGGCCGTCTTCGAAGGATGAAGGCAGTTTCTATCAAAGAAAATAAATTCATTAAGTTGTTGGACAGGGTGTTTCATCATATTTGTCCCCCTATATGACATCATAAAGTTACAAAAATTCCAATTATTTATTATTAATTAAGATGCAAAATCTTTACATTTTTTCATCTTTTTTCAATTTTTACAATCTTTACAAATTTTCTTTTTTATTTTAGAGTTGTGTTTTATTTTTTTAAATATATAACTGTTTGAAAGATAATACAGGCAACTCTAATGGGAGCAGAAATGATAATGTACATGAACACTTTTTTAATTCAACCAACGAGTTCTTGAATTTCGTAACTTAATTTTTTTTAGGAGTAACATTCTGTATAACAAAAAGTGCGATTAAATGCAAAGTTGCGTCTAGATTCCTTACCAGACTTGGAAGTTCCAATTTGATCACAAGAATACACCACAGCGAAATTGACGTAATCTGTTTTAACAACCAGGTAGTTTCCATCTATGTCAAATGGTTCATCTAAAGATTTGCATAAAAAAGAAATGCATAATTACTGGAAATATGATGAAGAAAAGGAAGAATCATAATTTGGATATACACTGTATATTCAAAATAAACGTGTCCCAAAATATTGACGTAATCTAACAAACACAGCTTAAACAAACAGAAAAAAATTGTACTCACTATCATTGAATCTGACAGACAGCTTTGCAGGGTCACGTGGATTTAAGGCCACGCCTACACCCTCTATACTTGTAGGTTCTCCTGTTCTGCAATGAAGGAGCAAATGCAATTATTATACTAGTGATAATACTGTATACAGGGTTATGTTATTTGCGCCCTTTCACACTTGCAAACGAAGAACTAGGTTCACTTTATGCATAAAATAGCCCTGTCCTCACCTACATTTGTAGGACGAGGGTGACGAAAAGAAAACGAGAGCGAAAATTTTCCTGTATATAGAATCTAAATTCATTGAAAAGAGGATGAAATAATTAACACATCGGCTGTAAGTTAAGATTGCTTGGATTCATTACAAATTTTCATTATTTAGTATCAGGATGCAAGATATAAAAATTTATGTCGAAACCAGTGTCATTTGGAATAGGGAAAATATATATACGTTGTATCTTTTAGTATTTTACGAAATATGACTTCCACCTTGTGCCTTTAATTTTGCTGGTGTTGGTGGAGCATACACAAATGATACAAAAATGAGAAACTATATCATTATGTTAAATGCTGTTTTCATATCGATATATTTACTCAATGCAAGGCGCAGAAGCAGACAAACTAATTCAAGAAAATAATGAAGGGGGCACAATTATACCATCCTCCAAAGATATAAAACTCATGTACACGTCAAATGTCATGAAAAGATTCAGACCCTAGCACCGGATGCAAGATTCGGACATTAGTTTTGGATATACAAGTGACATATTGAAAATACAACATATCTCTGTTTGATTGATTGTATCTTGTTTTACGTCACATTCGAGAATTTTTCACTCATAGAGAGACGTCAACATATACCGGTGATGGACTTCAAATTTAGTTCTTTACTCGGCACACTGGGCCATTGAGTAGTGAGGGATCTTTATCGCACAAATACCTGCCGTTACACGGGGCCTTGTTTGTTAGGTCCCGCAACTTTCATTTCAATGTGCACAGCGCTTGCTAAAGAACAGTTGCTACCTATTTTTGTCAATCTTGGCCGGGGTTTGAACCCACGACCTTCCAATCACGGAGCGAGCGTTCTACCGACTGAGCTACCGTGACGGAGCAGGCCCGTAGGAAGCAATTTCACTTTAAGGGGAGCACAACCATGCATTTTCAGTTGGGGGGGGGGGGGGGCACTATCAAGTACCAAAAAAAAAAAGAAAAAAAAAGAGGTCATCAGACGTTTTGATTGAGGGGACACAAGCATATAATAGCTATGTTTTCTATAGTATTCTATATATCGGCAAAATTATTAGGGGGACATGACCCCCCCCCCCCCCCGGTATCTACGGTCATGCGGTGAATATATCTCTTAAGGTCTCGATCCTTCTTTCCTCATGCTAAAAATCTATCAAGCACATTGACTGCGTGATAGTCATGAAAAAAATGTTAATAATTTTAAAATGCAAACTGATAGATGATTATTTTGAACAGTGAACCTTCTATCAAAATAAATACATCCAAGTGTCCTGAATCATGATACAGGCTTGGGTTAGGTTAATCTAGTATTGAGAATTTTATATATAGTTCAATTAAAAAAAAATCTTTGTTTTTAAGAGGCAAACTTTATATAATGTGACTATGAACGTAACCCCTGTAACACTGTGAATTGAATGTCACTTGGCACCACAAAATTCCAGTCCTATGTTGAACTGAGTTTGTCTTGGCCTAAGAATAAGATTCATTTTGCTTATTAAGACCGGTTGGCCTCTTTTCCAATTTAGGAAGAAGATCAGGCCCCGGTGTCATGAAACTTCTTAAGCATAAGTCAAAGTATTAATTTTGTATTGAAAGGTTTTAAAAGGTTTTAAAAATCAAACAGTCCAAATACATTTATCAAAATTGCACCAAAATGCTGTTTTCTTCAAATTTAGAGATGACTGAAAATCCGACTTAAGTCTAAGTCCGTTTCATGATCCGGTGGTCAGGGGCATCTCAGAGTTTGTCAAGGTCATATAATATTTAAGATTAGGCCATCCTTAAAATAATGTTTGCTTGCCCTCTCCCGACACAGGGTAAAAAATTGGATCGGTAGATAGATGGGAAAATCTTTTTTTCTCAGAAAATTTCAACATATATGTTGACGAATGGAAAAATTCAGGAATAAAACGGGAAAAAATAGTTTTGAGTCGGGCCATTTTGAGCCAGTCGGTCGGGAGAGGGCAACCAAACAAATTTTTAAAGTTTGCCTTATATCATTATTTGAGTTTCTACCATTCTTTTTTTTTTTTAGTTACCTTATAACAATACCCCTGTTGAGAACATGGACAGATCCGTCTCTGTTCAGTGAGTATACAGGGCTTGTACATGTAGTTCCAGCCGCTCCTCTTAAAAAGAAACGTTCAAATCCATACCATGTGCCGGTATACTAAAATTAAAAGGAAATGTATAAAAGAACGATAATTTTATTCAACGGGGTGGGGGGTGGGGGGTGGAGGCTGGCAATTTTCTGAGAGTGAGACTATTTATTTTCATGCCAATGAAGGACAGATCATTTATTTCGAAGCTGGTCCTCCGCAGATTATTTTTCCTGCGCTGAAAATTTTTTTGATGAGTACAATGTAATAAATTAATCGTGTGATGATGCAGCATCGTTCGATGATATAAATCAATATCGTGAGTATCGTAAAAAAATACATGCATAACTTCCAGAACCCTTTTGATGATTGCCTTTGCAAATGAGATGCATTAAACATCTTTAAATCGATCAAAGCATACAATATTGATCTTAAAATACATTCAATTAGAATAAATTTATAATAATCAAATCATTATAGCTGATAAATATTACACCGATTTCAGAATCCCTCGAAAAAGTTGATCAACGGGTAAAAGAGAATATGTGAAAAGTAGCCCAGGCACGTATTATCAATGGGATGAGTAGCCCCTCCCCTCACCCCCAATTTTTTTCCCAAACAATACCTTTTATCCTTGAAAATGTTCATTGAAAGATCGTCACGGTCTTCCACACTCTTTGTTGCAGTAGAGTTAAATCCTCCCATGATAATAATATATTAATGAAACTGTTTGTGGAATAAAGTTAATTTGGACCTACACAAATACAGTTGGATCCCCCCACCCCCCAAAATAAGATTTTTCGACTGGAAAATTCTCCTTTTTTGGCTTGTCAAAGTTTTTGCAGGTAAGTTGTCAAATTATAATATATTTTTTTCTTTATTTTTCCTTACAGTCTACTCGATAGCTTTAAAAATGTCTACTAAAAAGCGACCTTATGATCTATAAACCGTTACATTTAAAAGTAAACATATAGTGCAATTTTCAGATTAAAAAAAAAGCAATGGTTCGGCTTATTAAATCAGGGTAGGTCGCGTAACCTTAAGCATGTATTTTTTTCCAGACCTTTGCAATGTGAGAAAAATTGAAAACAAATAACCATCAAATTAAAATTTGAATTAAATTAAAATAATTAAACTTACGCGTCTTATATCAAATGGACGCACTGTAGGAATTTGGGGACAAAACCCCCTGCTTGTTACTTGTCCATAAACTGGAGGAAAACACAGAGTTATTCCGAAGAGAACCAGTACTATGTTCATGTCTACTATTTGAAAATATCACTTCTTTCCAGAATCTCTTTGATCTATATTTATACTTCTCCTGTTGGGGCCCAGACAGGTGTTTATACAAAATCCATTTATTTTTTTAAAATAAAAATACATTAACTTTTTAATACAACAATAGAGCAATAAAAAGATTTCCTATCATTTATATCAATTCATGTTTGAACATGCGAATATCTTTCTTTGAAACTAAAAAAAAATTACTTTGTCATTAAAATATAATAAATTAGCATTTTACATAAAAATAGGTCTAACTTCCGAAGCAATTGTCAATAGTGATTAAAGCATTTTTATGCACAAAGGAAGCATATTGCATTGTCAATTGAGAACAAAATATTCACCTTTTCAGTTATTTTAAGCAGATGATTTGTTTCTGTCACTTCTCTTTCAGAATCCTTTTGATTTATACATGTATGGCAAAAGCTGACATTGAATCTTTGATCAATAGGTTACAATTGGAAATCATCATTTTCAAATACAATACTATGGTTTCGTAAGGCAATAAAATAAATAAATAAAATAAATAAATAAATAAATAAACAAATAAATAAACAAATAAGGGAATGAATAAATAGTTTGCAAGGTTTCAGTTTACCGCCTTGTGTTCATTCTAAAAGGGTTAAAGGAAAATCTGCCATTTTTATTTTTTAGATAGTCACATGGTGAGACAGGGTGTATAAAGTTTTCATACAAGTTGGCTCTAAAATCCCGACTTTGATACCAATAACAAACTTTATAGAGTTATTGTATGCTTATGAAATACAAACATGTATCTTAAACTTTTAGAACCTGCTGCCCACCACGGTATATTGTTAGCTTGAACAATAAAAGCCAAATCCTGTCAGTGTAGATGTATACCGCAGTCAAGTATTGCATCTAGAAAGAAGTTTCTCTTTTTAGCACCAAATCAATATTTGAATGCAAGGCGTCTGGTTATTGAAAAAAAAAATACAAATTTTGAAAATTATTAGGAGATTTCTTTGATTTATTAATTTGTACATAATATACGACTTAAGGCAGAAACAGAAAAGGAACAAGGGTACATTAAAGCGGAGAATTGCCTCACAAAAGAGCATATTGTTCCCGACCCAAACATACGCAAGGGCGTTACGATATTCCCTCTCACTTCGTTGCGAAGGGATGAATTTAATTCCCGCCTAAGTACATGGCCTAATATAGTTTGCTGGAATATTTCTGGCTTCCATGCTAGGATTGGTCCAAAATAGACTCTGCGATTCAGTTAAACCAAAGATTTTGTGGTGATACACTGTACTTTGGAACATCTCTTTTCTAATTAATACAAATTTAAAACTTTTTAATACAAGCATACCGATTTTTAAAAAAAAGTATTTCTATTCGCATCGTAGATATAATTACTGTCCAAAATGTAACTGATATAAAATCAAATTTATTGTTATCTAACTACTAGTAAGTTTCTCACACGTAAAACAATGATTATCAAGTTTTGTGGCTTTTTATCCTTTGGAAACCTATACAGTAGTGTACAATTGTATTTTATTATTAATATAAGTTTATCATAAAATATATAGCTTTTGAAATCTTTAAAAGTTTAGAGTGAGGGTTAGACTATCTCCCACAAGAAGATTACAGATAAATATTTGTATATTCTGGAAAGGAATATGAATCTGTTAAAAAGTAACACTCCCCCCCCCCCCCCCCCCCACCACCACCACCGTTTTCACAAGTCAAAATTAAGGAGGACTCGGCCATCACATTCTAAAAATTGAGCGAAACAGAGACCTTCGTTTAATAAACTAGGATAATTAATCCTTAACGCTAGTCTACGGGGTTTAAACTATAGTTAACATCATTGGTTAATGATTAACATTTCTAAACTATAGCTATATAAGGACTCTATTTATGTTTTACAACAAATAAGTTAATAGTGTATACTCCACTTTAAAGTGAAAAATAAAGTGTCCAAGCATGATTTATACAATGTAAGAATATTTGCAGCCTGTGCACTATGATAACTTTTATGAGGTTAATTACGTTTCGTTTCATCCACCTTTAACACATTGTGCAAAGGCATGAAAAGAGTAATTATGTTTTCATTTAATTATTAACCTTAAGAGAAAGAACAAGGGGCGTTGTATAATTAAATAAGGCATTTTGAATTGATCTACGATGCAAGGTGACTGATGGCTTGTTTCATAACTCTGAAGCTACACCGCATTTTTTTTAATCATTCATTTAAAATAGATAAAAGATCTAATTCATATAAAAGTTCATCCGAAAGTAATGTCATAGTGAACATTTCTATCATACAAGGCGTCCATTTGTCGAAAAATCGAAAACAATATTTCATAAAAATACGTCCATTTGGGTCAAGATCTAGTAAATAAAGGTGCCTACGTATTTCTCAAATTTGAGAAACGAGTTCTCTTAATGATCCTTTACAAATACAGGTTGGTAAAATAAGGTGTATCGGGACAGAAATTTTAGTTAGGTAATTAACTCAACGATAAAACATATTTTAAGCTGTTGTCTTTCAATGAAGAATGAAGAAAAATAGTTATAAACTTCAGAGTTTTATCCATCTCAGACAAAGGAAACGTATCAGAATTGTCCAGTCTCTCTCTCTCTCTCTCTCTCTCTCTCTCTCTCTCTCTCTCTCTCTCTCTCTCTATTAAAAAAAAAGAAAAAAAACGGGTTTCCGGATCTTCTTGACCTTACTCTAAAATGATATTCAATTGAATGTAGGCATCGGGATTACTTTTGACAAGATTTCAAATTGAATTCCATGAAAATTCTTCATTTTTTATAAAATTCTATTATAGCCGTAAAGTACGGGAAAAATTTATCTTATATTAATTATGACGTCATAATGGATCTAGCACCAAAAAGACAATCTAAACTAATTCACTAGATCTTGACCTTATAAAAATCAAAATGAAAATCAAAATAAGTGCATTTAAACTGTATTTTAATTGAATTGATAATCTTATTACATTCCGTAATTTAGTTAATGATGTAGGTGTTCAAAATCTTAGACATACGCTTCATCTCCACGCCAACAATGCCTATCAGGTATATACATGTATGTAGACTTCGGTAATTTAACTGAAGAGATGAAAGACATTTTAACTGTGGCAAAGCACGCCATATTTCAACAATTTTGATAAGTAATATTTATGTAAGAAATAGCATGTAAGCCATTTTCTTGCCTGAAGTTGAAAATTAAAAGACATTTCCTTATTTTATTTTTGAAAAGTAAACTTTGATATATGAACCAAGATGATATCATGATCAATGCTTAAATCCTTAACATTAATGAACAGTACATGTACGGATTTTAGTACGCAATACAGCTTTTTTTCCATATTAAAAAAAGCCTCCCTACTACTATTACTTTACAATCAAGAGTTAGTGTTTTTTTTCTATGCATTGATAGTATAAATTGTTTTAAATTGTCTATTCAATTTATACAACAGAAGAAAGTTTAATTACAAAAATAATTAAAAAAATAATTAGCAGATAAAAAACAAAATTTCATAATAATAAAATTTACATAATGAACGAAACTAACAGTCAATAATATAGCTCTCTTATATCCATTAAGAATAATCAATGTAAAAGTTCCGAATTTAATTTACTTTCATAAACCATGAAAATGTTTCTTGAGAAAATGAAACCTACGACATCATATAGTTAATATTTATTCTGGTTACATTTTTAGGTTACAATCCTTATGAAACTCCCTAGAATTCGGTAACATCTCCGAATTAATCATTAACATTTTTCAGGAAGTTATAAAGTTGGCAACAATTAATGGATAATGATGAATGTTCATTTGACATCCTAAACATGACAAATTGTCATAGTTTTTGAGATCATATAGTGGTTAAAATTGTCAATTTATCTCTGCAGAAAACACAAAAATTTGCATTCTGAAGAAGAGCTTACAAGACGCTTTTTGGTTTTATTGATGCGTCGAAATCGTTGAATGAATTTTGAATTGAACATATTTTATTGACAAAGTCAAAAGGATCGGACACGAGTTCAGAAACTTAGATAGTCTTCTCCTGGTACAACATTTTGTAAAATTGCCAAAATAAAAACATATATACATATGGTCTACTACATATACATCGTAGTAATAGAAAGAACAAAAATAAGTTCTTTAAGTGTACATGTATAATTTGAATTGGTAAGAAGAGAAAAAAAAAAGAAAAAAGTAAGCTTATTTTAAAAAACGGCCACATTCATTTACGAAAGTTTGAATAATTTTGAAAAGTTCAGCATTTTGTTCAATAGTAAGAGAATCATCGCCCCATAGCATTAAATGTACATCTATAACATATAAATAATTAAATGACAATAGCTTATTCATTAAGGAATTCCTTGCTTTTACATAATATTTACAAGCAAAAAACAAATGATATGCATCTTCTAGTAGTCCACAAGAACAATTAGGACTGGTTATTAGGTTACAGCGATATAAGTCTGAATTTAAAATACAATTATGTCTTAATCTTGTATGAATTATGTTCAAAAACCTTTTTCCATATGAAAAATATTTCTGAGGTTTTACAATACTGTTGTGCAGATAGTTTTTAAAGATTTTGATAGAAGTTGCCTCCCTTATTTTAAGACTAAGGGAATTCCACTTTCTAACAGTATAAGGAATAAATGATTTATTATATAGTTCTAATCTGTATTTTGGCAAAGAATAATTTAAGGAATTCCTAGTAGTGTATCCTGAAATATTGCCTCTTGTATCAGGTACTAAATTTTGTAAATAATTAGGAACTACTAAATTATTGTGCATTTTATACATTGTTATTAGTTTTGCTCTGTTTCTTCTGTATTCCAACGGTTCCCAACCTGTTTCCAAATATAATGAATTTCTTGAAGTAATAATTGTAAGCCCAGTAACTATTCTTGCAGCAAGTAATTGTACTTTTTCAAGATTCTCAATGTCTGTTTTGTGCATCCAGACCAAACTTCAACAG